AAGGAAATTAATTGTACCATTAAAATCAGGGGAAACGAATATACAGTATTATGTTACCAATGAAGAATTGTTCAGTATACTATATGAAACTCACGCCAGAATAGGCCACGGAGGAAGAATACGTATGCCTAGAATGTACTATGTGTTTTAAATTCTTGGTTACTCCTCTCAGAAAAAGAGGCGAAAAAGTTACGTCACCCTTATGACGTTTTATAGCGACTGAATTACGGAGAAAAAAATATAAATCTCCGACATGTTCAACATTCACCATTAGTGCATGGTGAATGTCGACATTTACCGGTGTAAGTCAGAAATAAGGGTATTTAGCAAATATTTCGGACATACACCAAGCGATTTTGTGAATGTTGACATTCACCGGTGAAAATCGACATTCTCCAGATTTCGGTCTTTCACGGTAACATATGCATTGCAGAATAATAATTGTATGTCAACAGAATTTACACTGCACTGCAATATATCGATGTGACAGCATCAATGTTCAATTTTCGAATCGCACTGTATTGAAAGAACAAAATTTGAATAATAACTACTAAGCGATAATGAAGTTAACTAATAATTAAAAACTTAGATAAGTAGTATTTAGATTTGAAAAAAATTATGCAACAAGAAATAGCATTCTTGAAACGGTTTTACAATTATCATAATTTGCAGTTATGTATGTAGATTTTCATATGTTGTCTAAATGTATCATTACTAGTTACAATAAATACGCTACAGTGTCATTCAAAATACAGTCAAATATTCAAACACAATCTTTAAAAAAATTCCAACTAAAAATTTCATTTTACAAAAATTATTTTCAAATGTTTATAATTTGCATATATGAAGAACAAAATTTGAAGAACAAATTTGTATGCAAGAAGTGATTTGTATACAAGATAAAAATATATATGATTAGTTATTCAAGATAAATCTATAAAGAATATTATAATTAACAATTTAATAGTATAACATTTATCATGTTACTTTACCAAAATTTTCTACAGAAACATAAAAAGTTCATTCGTGTATGTTCAACAGTTAAAGAAATAAGGTAACTGGACATCTTGTGTACATACACACATACATACAGACATAGCCCGTTCTTTTCTTTCTCTCTAAAATTTGTTTCCTTTTTATTATTTATAAATATACATATATACATTTGAAAGTTCACCCTGCCTTAGATTCCAGCTGGCACGGGTTAATGCTACGTAGCTCTTTTACCTATCAATTACTATACACGTACACATGTTCTCCTGTCCTCCTCTGTCTCTCTGTTCCTCTCTCTATCTCTACGATTAGCTTCTTCCTGTTTTACTTGGGACAAAACGTAGTGATACCTTTTTTCTGTATACGTACCAAGACCGTACTGTAATAACGCTGGTTGCACTGTGTGAAACTATCGATATATGGTGTTGTTTTGCCTCCTGATAAGCGTGTCACCCCCGTAACAACCCCCTTTCTCTATCTTCTTTTCTTTACACCCCTATTGACACACGGAATAGCGCCGGAAAATATGGGATGTCTCGAAACGATTGTACAAATTCAGAAATAAATGTCGAAAATTCGGAGGAACAGATTTATAGGAAAATTTATTGGAACAAGTTAATAGGAAAATTCATAGGAACAAATTTATTGAAAAATTTATAGAAACAAATTCATAGGAAAATTCATAGGAACAAATTCATATAAAAATTTATAAAAACAAATTCAAAGGAAAATTCATAAAAAGAAATTCATAGGAAAATTCATAAAAACAAATTCATAGAAAAATTCATAGAAACAAATTCATAGGAAAATTCATAGGAACAAATTCATAGGAAAATTCATAGGAACAAATTCATAGAAACAAATTCATAGGAACAGGTTCATAGGAAAATTTATAGAAAAATTCATAGAAACAAATTCATAGGAAAATTCATAGGAACAAATTCATAGGAAAATTTATAGAAAAATTCATAGAAACAAATTCATAGAAAAATTCATAGAAACAAATTCATAGGAAAATTCATAGGAACAAATTCATATAAAAATTTATAAAAACAAATTCAAAGGAAAATTCATAAAAAGAAATTCATAGGAAAATTCTTAAAAACAAATTCATAGAAAAATTCATAGAAACAAATAGCTTTGCAATAAAAAATAGAGCAAGTAATAAAAATGTAAAATTTTACAATAAACACAGATGAATCAACTAATTAAGAATGATCATATTTGTAAATAAAACATATTTATAACTAAAAATAATTCAGTAGCTAGTCCAACAAAATATATTAAAATTCTGAAATAATTAATGTAGCTTTTAAGTAAATGAAATTAAAAAATAATATTCATAACAAAATTCTAATAGTTTTTTATCATTGTGTCTTCCAAAAAAGTCATTAAACCATAAAATTTTCACTTCAAACCAAGATCAATATTTTCAACCCAATAGTCTTCTTTATTCTACAGAAAAATGCGAAACACATTGACCAAAATAGCAAAAGAGATGAATAAATCTCGTATCATTAATTTTGAGACATCCTGTAGACGCAACTATTTCAGGCAGTTTGAAACGGCCGCAATAAATGATTCATCAGAGTGTTACACGTTTATCAGAACGTAACCCGTACGTGTACGTACGTGTATCTATATATAATACATATTTACATGACGTAGGATGTTTTTTATCACACCACCGCAACTGACCTCACGCAAATTGCAATGTCTTTAATAACCATGTGTAACCGGTTATGTACGAGAGAGACTCGAAACATCCTCTTGTCGGATGGACACGTTCGCTGAGAACACCCTGAAACAGACTAACGAACGACCCACTTATACCGATAGCCACCTACGAAACTGGTACACAAATTTACACGTACACATACACATTTACACATGTATCTTTATATATATATACACGTGACCTTGCGCTAATTTTCCTGTAATTCAGTCACCAGCCCCCTTCCTCTGTCACTCGCGCCATTATTATGGGTCGTTTTAGATGAACTTGCGTCGCCAGCTGTTGATTCCAAATTTTTAGTATTAAAGTTTGTAATAAATATACTGTATTTAGTTTATGCGTGTGTAACGTATGTAACACGTATGTAGGTAATATGTATATTTATGTAGGCATATGATATGTACATGTGTGGTCTCATATGTATATTCGAATAGTTATATAGGGTAACACGTACAAGTGTAGTCTCATACGTGTATTCAAATACTCATATAGCATAACGTGTACATACACTACCGTCCATAAGTATCCGGACACAAGCGAAATATGCATTCGCGTTGCATGAAAGTTATTCAAGTATTTGCAACAGTAACTAAAATCGATTTTTTTTCTGCGAAGGTCAGAATACTGGAACGTTTTTCGATTGATAATTCTCGTTTGGAACTCATATTTCGATGGAAAAGAAGCTACAGACGAACTAAACCGAAACTGTCGAGTGCGTAGCGTTACCTCCATTCTTATTTCCATTGAGGGAACCTAAACATCTACCAACAGTTTACAAACACTTGAAACATATCGAAGAACCCTCTGAATACGTTCTGCACCATAGAAATGAAACACAGTAGAAATGAAAATTTTTTTTAGAATCGAAAGCGTTTCATTAGATTCACAAATTTGGACTTTGTACTTCTGGGCATGAATTTTACTTTCACACTTTCATTGTATAATTTGTACTTAGAAATTAATTCTATTACGTTATGACACCTCAGAAAAGATAATAATAATTATTACAAATGATATGATAACCCTAAATACCTTTCGTACAAAGTTCAACTATGTTTTATGTAACGAAACCAAGTGTCCGGATACTTATGGACGGTAGTGTATGTAGACTCACACGTATAATCAAGTACTTATACATATAGGATAACACGTGTAATTAAATATATACATATAGGGTAACATGAGTATTTCAATATTTATAGGGACATGTACATGATCAAATACATGTAGTATAACGTATACATGTGTGTATACACACGTACGTATATAGACATGATATAGGGTGTCACAATTAAGTCGACCATTAAAATCATTAAAAATAAGAAGAAATTGATGGCAATATGTATAATTATTTAGAAACGTACATTTAGTGATAATAAAGAAATGGGACGAAGTTTCCGTTATTTCTATATTTTTGCTTGTAATAATATTGAAGATAATTTGGATTTTCGATGGTCGATTTTTAATGAAACACCTTGTATATTGCTAATCCTTAATCATAGTACTATACAAATATTTAGACATGAAGTTATGGCTTCACCAATTAACTGGAGGCTAAATAAGGTTTTTGTTTAATAATTTGAGAAGCTTAGAACGTGTTTTGTGACAAGTACGTATGTCATTATATCAAGTGGTACATGAATACGTATGTTTTATAACAAATTGCACGTACGTATGACTCACAACAAATTGTACGCATTTTTTATAACAAATTGTATGCATATAGTTTGTTTAATTTTATTATTGTAGAATATGAAAAAATTTAGTTGTATTTATTTAGAATAGGTTATTAAGAATCAACATGATAAGCAACTAGTATATTTATTTGTTGCAAATAAAGAAGTAAGAAGCGTGCTAACAATTTGATAAGAGGTGTACTTTCAGTGATGAAACGTATTAAAAGTAGTAGAAAGGCATTTTCTTAAGAAAATGACAAAATATTACATTTTTTAGTGTATTCGTGAGATTAATATAATGAAAATTACAAGGTAATGTTGCTATAATTCTTAATAATTTAGAGGTTGCACAGCTTAGTAATACAAGGTGTCCAAATCATATCGTAACGATATTATAATCATATCGAAATCATATCACAATCATGTCCTAATCATGTTCTAATCATATCATAATCATACCGTAATCATATAGCAATCATATCATAATCATATCGCAATCGTATCCTAATCATATCGTAATCATATCGCAATCAGATCGTAATCATATCCTAATCATATCCCAATGACATCATAGTCCTATCACAATCACAATCATAAAGATAAATCCACTCATAAAGTAAAATTCACCTAATCCATAAGGTTACAAGAAATTTTCGTTATCAAGCATCACCCCTCCATCAGTAATAATTTCTGCCCGCGCCGCAACCATATTCCGATCTACCTAAACAATCATAAATTTCTCTCACGCCCCCAATCATCGTTAAAAGCATAATTAATAGCTGGCGACGTAAAAGGTCCGCTTGAAGCGCGATACGCTAGAATCATCATTCGTACTATATTTGCCACGTACTTTCTGTTTCTATTTCTGTTTCTCTCCTCCAACCAAATCCAGCATCCACGTGTGCCTCCCGGTTTACTAATTTAGGGAATCTATTTGCAGCAGGGGGTTAGATTCGATCCTGATATGCCACAAACCATACGTTTGGAATTTGCAAAAAGTAACACAAAGGTTAGCAAACCCAAGCAACCAGCCGCTGCAGCAGCCACCTCGCACCCTGCTCTGATGCACCCTCTAACTGGACGTAAGTATGCACTGCCACTCGTTCACTCGCTGAAATACATCTCACTACTATTCTCACCCACTGCACTTACTACTACGTATTCTCCTTCCTGTTGTTTCTCTTTCTATCTTTCTTCAATCTTTTTTTTTTGACTTTTTTTTCTTGTCGACCCTACCACGCACCCCACACGGTCCTCGAGTTTACCCCTTCCGAATAGTTTCGAACGCTGCATCGAGGTACAATAATTGTCTTACAGTTAATTGAAGAAGGGAAAGTACAATTAGGCTGGTCATGATGGTATTTACTCAGATTCTGTTTGAGGGGAATCTAGTGGCTTTTGTTTGAGGGTAATTGATTTGGCTTTGGACGAATGAAATAAATATTGGCTCGGAAAGTTTGATCAAAATGTTATAATGCTGAAGGTTTTTTTAGAGAAAATTGCGATGTCATGGAAGTATAAATATGAATTATATCAAGTATGAAATTTATACAAATATTACGAAGTATGAATGTAACACAACATAATGTAATATAATATAACATACTGTTACAGTACAGTATACAGGGTGTTACTTGAAAAGCTACTCAAGATTTTTCTCCCACTTGAAGCCACTTTACGAAAAAAAGTTCAGAACAATATTTGCAAAGTATGAAGTGCACAATAGATATTAGTAAAGCAAATTTTGAAAACAGTTTGTTCCCTCGGCAAAGTCAAGGTCACCTCGGGTTTTTTAAATAGGAATATACATTTTTTTATTCATAGCTTTAGAGGACATCGAGACGAATTCAAAACACATGTTACATGATATTTTTATTAACATATTACTCGATTTACAGAAGAGGAAATGTGAAG